GCCAATAATCAATTGGATTCATCTGTGAATGACTTAATTTTTCAACTACATATTTTGCATCAAATTAACATGATTTATCCCAATTGATTCATCAGAAACGTCCTTAGGTATTTCATTGTCAATAAAACACTCCTGCATCTGGTCAGTGGCACAGGTGGAGCATTATAATCACAATATGATAACATTTTACAACATTTTCTGCCTTGTGTAATATGTTTAGAACAGTGTCAGGTAAAAGCCTGAACACACTGGCTAAAGGTCAGGAAACAAAGGATCAGGGAGGTTGATATTGAATTTAAAGTTACAAAAGTCAGGTAAGAGATCATGCCATGTTTACATAGTAATGTGGTTGAGGGTTCACCCTACTCTTCAAATGGGACATCCTTAAGTACACGTGAAAGGGATTGAAATGTGAACAGTTGAATTCGTAGTAACACATGACCTTATGCTTATGCAGTATGCTTTCCATAATGCTGATTATGGAGATTGAGACAGGAAGTGACACACACAGAAACTACATGCGTATACTCCATACACGTGTAATAAATCCCCTCAGCCTCTTCCTGACTCCTGACTATCTAAGATACTCATTCAACTACAGCACAATGAAAAACCACAAGTGAGCAATAAGAAGTGTGTGCAAAAGGTTTTTTTTAATTTTATTTAATTTAATTTTTTTGTATTTTGAAGCCAGAAAGGAAAGTACCAGAGAGAAGGAAAAAATTGACATTTTTAGGTACCGATTAAATCCGTTTAGGTCATCCAAAGAGTGAGGGAAAAGAAAAGTAAGAAAACGAGGAGATGAAGTGTAAACTCTGAGAAGCTTTTAACTGCATTCTAGTTCTAATGCTACTGAAATTTCAAGATATAAAATGCACTACATTTTAGCACTCAGAATATCCACAACTGTAGTTTTGGCTAACTTAATATGGAGCAATTTCAAAACTAAATGGAATTACACAAATAGTGAAAAAACATATACATTAAAGTTAATGTAGTCATCTCATCCTAGTTCCTAATCCCTCTTAGCATCATAGGAGCAGGAGGGACGGGAGCGAATACCAACGGCACCGATCAAATGGGGGCCACCTGGGACAGTTCCCCAGCCGGTCAGACAAACAGCTATTTACGCACTCATTTATATGTGTGGTCCAGTGAGAGTCAACAGCAAACATAATCAAATCCATTTAGAACAGAATCAAACCACTGACCTCCTTGCTGTGCAGCAGGATCACTGACCATTCTCTATGGTGTTCCCATATATAACCTTTTAAACTATTAAGACTAACCTTAATACTTTTATATCTAGTTTATGGCCTCATAGTCATTTACTCAAGGATACATAGAGAAGAATGAAAGATGTGAGATATTAGAATCCACAACAAAGCACACATTGGCCTAAAGAAGGTGTTTTGGCTGTATATTTGAGATATTTATAAAGCCACAAAAGAATGTAACAGAAAGACATAGCCACGTTGTGCTACAGTTTGTGATTGTTTACAACAAATTGTTGGTTATTTCAGCCAATTTGGCTGAACAACATGTTATTTTTATTGTGTTTTTAAGCATATTTCCATTTCTATTGTTACTTAGATTACACAGTGAGAGGCAAGAAAAAAGAAAACAAACACAGGAAGAATATCCAATTAAATTCCAGCTGTGCTTGGCAACCGCAGTTAGAAATTCTTTATCACATTATCCAGATGATTAGGGACATCACAAACACACCCAGGTATTTGCAAGGACACTCAGTATAGCACAATACGTATATCATAAATAAACATTGGTAACCTTAATCAAACAACTTGATTTCATTCAATTTCATCACTTTTCTCATTCCACAAAAACAATCAATCAGAGCAAACATCAAATCTTTTTTTTTCTTTGCCCAAACCTGACAAGGAACTTGGTAAAACTTAGATGGTAGACCTACCATCACAGAACTGACTTTAGGCGAACTGACAAAGAAAGAAAATAATAAAGAAGGCAGGAAGACAGAATCTGATTATAAAAGACTGCAACCTGCCAATGAGCCATTGCCAAGCTGAAAATTACATGTTTTTCTACTTTTTACACTGGATTGTTTCTGTAAACAAGGCGACACCGTTCAGGGACTGGTCATTTAGAGAAAAGTGTGTTGCTCTGCTTCTGCGTGTTATAAATATACATTTCAACTTCAATGTCTCTCCAATTGTGATTGCACAGTGGAGAAAACTATTTCTCACTCCTGAAAAACTGACAACACCAAAGGACTGTGATGAACTCAAAATGCAGATCTGTCATGGCTGCTCTTTTGTTTGTTTTTTTTTTTTGTTTTTTTTTATTGACTAGTGATTAGATAACATTATTTTTCTATTATTTTTGCTCTTGGTTGTGTCTTTGCAAAGTCTTTTAGGTATTTGGGGAGAAAACTTTACAATCCCTCTTACGGTCAATACAGGGCACACTCCATCACACCAGCCAAGAAGCACTTGACAAACAAAAATGACTCTCGAGGTTTGATTAATAATTAACAAGGATAATGTGAAGCATGGAGACTGGAGACATGCCAGGTAATTGCCCCTTAGCTCCCTTTTTGGCTACAGGATAGCAAGCTGTGGTGATAAGCTGTGTATTTATAGACCGGCTGATTTACTAAGCATTGAGTGCAGGATAAGTCTGCGGCTGTTGGCTCCAGAAATAGTCCACAGACTTCAATGTTAAGTTGAATTTGTTCAAAGACAAAAGGTGCAAATGATTATGCAGAAACAAAAGAACCCACCAGGTTAGCCAAATGGTGTAAACACATTTCTGTGAGAGTGGCTGGAACTCTGATGGCAGGTTAGTGATGTGTGTTATTATCCACCAGCACTTGATGCTCAGCCAGTTTTCTGGCAATGCTGACAGCAGATCACGGAAACTGTGCCACTCTCCCTCTGCCTCACTTCCTCCTCCTCTCTTCTCTCCATCACACTCTGACATGCCCATATACTAAAGCGCACCCTGCATAGTAATGCCAGTGCATGCACATACTACCTTCCAGTATCGATTGGTTGCCAGAGGACACAAGGTCAAGTCACGTGGTGTCAATATTTAAAACACCGCTCAGCGCTGGGGACCTCAACCATAACCTCATTAATATGAGGGTCTGGTCTGGGCAAACTGTCTCCTGGCACTGAGAAAAGCTGACTCAAATAACAGCAGGTGAAACACACACACAGAGACACACACTCACACATACACGTCCAGCCACATCATTAGAAAAGGCAACACAAAAACAGTAGTTGTGTTAACCTGAAAGAAAATTTCACAAATTGATATAAATAGATAACAGACAGGGTGCTATGGAAATAGTTTCCACTAGGTGGTACTAATGCAACTGAATGTTCCCAGTAAAACTCAAAAACAAGTAATAATTCCCCAATTTATTCTCTCTAAATAATTTTACATTTTACATCTACAGTATGTGTGTAATGTTTTCACACGGCTGATTCTTTGGAAACCACCCACTTACAACAACAATGCTGCTGTATCATCACACTCGACACAGTCTAGAACAATACATCTGCAATTATAGCAAATAAAGATTTTTGTTTAAAACAGTGACAAATGCTCTAGCAAATATTTAATAATGCATAATATTTTAAGTACAAGGTTCTTAGTAAGAAACTGATGGCGCTTCATGCCTGTCTGTTCGATGACCCACTCTATGACCAACCAGTAATGAAGTCAAAGGTGCCCAAAGCTTTAAGAGACAGTTATTCTAAAGTACAGCCTGTTCTGATCAATTCTCCTAGCATGAATGTGTCACTGCTGCCCTTCCTCCCTGCTGTTCCCAGTCCGATCCTATCAGCCTCCAGAGACAGAAGAAAGTTCAGCGCTCCATCAACAAGGCTGCTACTGCCTGTATGTTTGCTCTCACATACATCCTCTTTCTCACACATATGCACAGCCTTTCACAGAGCTAAAATCAGCAAAGTGCGTATGTGTGTCTACCAAGTTTCTCTCAATACTCCTGAGCATCTTTTACACACTCCTCCTCACCCTCCATCGCTCTCTCACACACACATACACACAAACTCCATCACACAGCCGCTGGAGAAACACTGCTCTCCGAGATAACAGCAATGTTTTGCCACTTGATTAGGATCTTCCAGTTACCATTAAAGACGCTTTATCTTCCGCACTAACCCTCGTTCACGCTTTTTTTCCTGTTCGATGACTCTCCAGAGTGAATGATGGAGGTCACGCAGAAACAAGGGGACACAAGGGCAACAGAGGGGGAAATTAAAGTGGAAGTACAGCAAAGCAGTGAAACCTAGTCCCCCATTTTTTCAAGGTTTAAAAGACTTAAAGCTAGAGTGGATCATTTCCGTCTTAGACAATGATTTTGATCTATTTATGAACTGAAATCCTCTGGCCCTAACAATACTATAATGCAGATAATAAGTAGTCACTCTCTGCCTGTGGCAGTGTATGTTCTGAAGAAGGTACTGTTCCCAGCCTCTGACTACAGTAGTGAGTGGTGAGTGAGAGAGTTTAGAAGAGAGCAAAAATTAACATGCTGTGAATGATATTTCTTTCTATTCAACCCATTTTCTGTCCTCTCTGTTTGTGTTGACTATTTCATCAGAAACATCATCTATAATGATGCAAGTGGATGGAACAACATGTTTGCCCGTTTATTTCTGAGTTGAAAGTATAGAAAGTGTTTTTTAAACATCAAACAGACTTGGTTCTTCAAAAGTTTTACCTGTACGTACAACAACATTGAAATGCAGTTTGGAAATTTAAAATAGCAGCAGAAATGAACAAGCCATTTCCCATCTGCTAGAGTGAAAATGACACACTAGGGAAATAAATTCATTTATAAAGTAATTATGAGATTTAACAACTGTATAATGACAGTAAATAATATGGTTTTCCTTTATTTACATGAATTGCCTGTTCTCTGCCGTCATCTTGTTCTGTAGTCACAGCTAAGCGGATAGACCAATTCAAATCATATCTTGTTTTCTTACCTGTACTCCAGTGAGAAGCGTGTTAATTCTGTGTTGTTGTGGATCCACTTGAACTCCAGGGGCCAGCTGCCCTCAGCCATGCAGGTCAGCACCAGCCTGTTGCGTTCCAGGTGGAGTTGACTGCGCACTGGCTCAGTCTTAAAGTACGGAGGGACATCATCTGTGAAATAAAGACAAGACTTCAGAGACAGGTATTCTAAGATGTTCAAAAAAAAGGAACCTGACTGAGCTTTCATCCTGACTTGACCTCAAACTCCTGGAAACCACAATAATCAGTACATGAACCCGGTGAACCGAGCAGAACTACATATATCATAATGTTTGCAGATGGGCCTAGAGTAGATTAAAAAAAAATCTGACTCTGTCCAAATAAATGAACCAGAATTTTCCACTGCCTGATAATGACAAGTATACACTAGATTTAGATGTAGGGCTATTTCTAATGTGCAAACACTGTTCAAAACACATGACTGTGTGAACCTTCTGCCCTGTTGCATGCCCCCATCTTATCTCTGCATGCTTTTAATTAGATCAAAGATGCAGATGACTATCCAGACTGATCACGAACCAATGTAATGGCACTAAAACCTGAACAAACAGGGCTTTATTCATTAGAGAGAAGAAAAGTGTAAAGGGTTAAAGAATAATCTCAAATGGGAATGAAGATCAAAGTGACAGATCCATAATAATGTGAGTCCACCAGTTGACCTCTGGGCATGGATGTGAAACTTAATTATACCACTGCTTAAACCTAAATAGCACAATCTTAAAAATAATGAAACATTATCACAGACAGTACTGCTAAACAGAAAGTACTTTAGATGTACACTTGTGACTGTGTGTGTTTTCTTAAGAAGACCTTTTGGTCAAAAATCATTTAGTGTGTGACCCCTCTTGCCACCGCTTATTCCCACAGTGTGAACCAACAGCTAGCGGTGTGTGTTTGGCCCCAGGTGATCTGGAGTTGGAGCTGAGTGGCCAACAGGAAAGAAGGAGCAGAGGCATCAAGTCATGAAGGATTGGTCCTGCTGTGTGTATTTATGTGTCAGTAACTCACTGGCACAGCGCAGCGCTCTCCTCTCAGCTAGACAGCACAGACAGGAGAGCAGTAAAGGCAAGGGGGAGGCATGAAATCCTTTCATCATTCTTCCGCCTGCATTCTGTCTTTCTCTCTATCTGTGTTTCTCAAACACGCTCTGTTGAGTGTGAAGAAATGGATCGGAGGAGACCGGCAAATTCTCCACAGGGCAATGCACACTGTGAACATGGGCGACACACAGTTCAATTTTTATATCTCAATCAAGTCACCTCAAACACAAACTGTCAGGAGCCCCTCGTGGCTCTAATCTTTTACCCCTGATAAATGATGCCAAAAGGGGGAGCTTACTAGATGATCATTGTAAATATAGAACACATTAATTGGGTGGTTGGACAATATAATTATCAAATTGACTGATAATCGGGCATTGAAATTAAACTGTCAAAATGATCTATTGGCCTGATATTTAGTCCTTCTATTTCAGCTTAGAAATTCACTGAAGGTAAAATGGTTAGATTGAAGGAGTGATGAAGAAAGTGAAAGGAGAAAATGTAAGGAGACAGAGCGAGAAAGAGAGATTGGCTGAATATGATTTACAAGCCTTCAAATAACCAACCAGCCGTAGCATAAAGAATATGATCTTATCGCAGAAGAACAATCCTCAGCCCTGTTCAAATATTCCAGTTTGAACAGGACCAGCAGCCATTTTCTAAAACTCCACCTGCTTTTTATAATGTCGTAAAAATAATGTCACAGTCATCTAAATAACATGCTTATTTACTGAAAACTAATCACAGAGCTTTTTGAAAAAACACTCATTTATTGTAAGATTTATGATGGAAATGCACCAGACTGCATTAGTCCTGCCAGCAGTAGATGTATAAATAATGCATATTCTCCAGAGAAGTTATACCAGAGGCAGAAGACTAATCATGAGCGGGACAAAAACACACACTCAATGTAAAGTAAAAGATAATCAAGATAAATTATAAGGCTATTAAAAGTGTATTTCTGTGGTCCAAACGTTGATGGCATTCTTAATAAGGAACATAAATATTCACGAGTTCCACAATCTCCTTAATACATGAACTTAAATGACGTCTGACTTTTGCTAACCTGAGAACGGTGCCAACCTCTGGGCCGGTCATGATGAATTAATATTCATGACAGAATATAAAAAGACTCGACTGCTCAGACGCCACACGGTATTGATCTGTCAGTTTATGCTGCCTGGTATTTTAGAATTACACATGACGACCATCAAGCACTGTGTGAAGATAAAAACAAGTAAAAAGTAAAAGAGTCTAAAACTGGACGTGTTCAGTCAACACATGAAGAACTGGCTCTTGATCAGGGAGTCGCCACAGCAATAGTGGACATAGTTCTTACACGAGAGGCTTTTCTTGAAGCAACAATTGGGACTCAAACCCTTGACCTTTAGCATGCAAAGCAGAATTCATATAACTGCATAACTGCATATCAGTTATGTCATAACCACAAACACTCTTCAACGTCCACCCTCTTTCGGCCGCTGATGCTGTTAATGGTGTGCAGAGAGATGAAGCCAATGAGAGATTACATTAGGCTTGAGCTAAAGCACACAGGGGAAACTAAAGTCTAAGAACAAACATACAGTGACAAAGGAGGTGAAGGATAACGCAGGTCAAGTGATGTTAGATGAAACCAAGTAAAAAGTATACATAAAAAAGCAACGTGGCAGATAGGGGGCTTAACTGATCCATAAAAGAGATAAAATGCTAAATAGACAGTAAGCTGATTTGAGATATGGTGGAGTGTCTGGACATCTCCCAAAGCAGTGTGGGTTAATTATCTGCCTTGAACAGAGAGAGATAGGATGCAAAAATTAGGTGATGGAGATGTTCATCTGTGATTTGAGATGGCCGAGACTAATGTGCAATGTGCAGTTTGCTTTCAATCGATGGGGAGATTAAAGAGGAAATGTGGCAGGGTTCAACGGACGCAAGAGGCAGGAAGGAGAGAGAAGCATTGAGTTTATACACAGAGATGTGAGGATGTTAATAAATGACAGTAAATACGCAAGTGTATGGTGATGTCGCCCACACAAACATGCTCATTGACCCACATGAAAGTCGGCCAGTGAAAACATTGATCAGCAATGAGTATCTTCACCAGTGTTTTTAATTAGGGAGTCCATGAGAGCTCATCAGTAACATCTAAATGAGGAATTTGATGTGGAGCCCAACACTTCAGGGCCATGTGCTGATTCAAGGGTTCAGTGAGGCAACTATAATTGAAATTTGTCTTAAAGTTACAACATGAGTAAAAATTATTATAATATATTATAAGATTTTGACTTTTAATCTATCTATCTATCTGTCTATCTATCTATCTATCTATCTATCTATCTATCTATCTATCTACTTATCTATCTATATTATTTTTCATTTTATTTAATGTTTATGTTGACAACAACATAAAAAGTGTGGTGAATTGCAGTTTTTATGTATTGCTGGTTAGTTTTTTCCAGCTGTACATCTAAGCCAGAATGGACACAATGCTGACAAGAAAAAAAGAACTGACTATTTTAGCCTCGCACATTAAAAAATGTAATTCAATTATATTTTGTCCAACTTGCCACGGAATTAAATTTTGTACTATTGATTGCAATGACCCAGTTGGATAAGAGAAAACAAATGCATCTGAACAACTTTTGGTGAAGTTAAGAAAAACTAAAGATAACCTTAAAATGAGCATACTTTTGAATTCTCATTTTACCAACCGTTTCCCTCTGCAATTACTGTGCAACAGAGGCCCCTCATTAACATACAGTAAAACCACTGCCAGAGGATACTCCCAGAAGATGCCACCCTGGCTGACTTATAGCTGTGCGTGTGTGTGGTGTTTGTGTGTCCATTTATGTGTATGTGCAGGTTACTGTGCCAGTTGGATGCCTTTAGACTTGCATGCAGCCGTGCACGCACACAATTAAATGAGTTTCCCTGTTAATGAGAACACTGCAAGGTACAATTTCCTGGCCTGGGGTGAAATTTCATTTAAATGAGAGGAATTGGATTCTTTTTCCCACAAAATATGAAGTATTTTGTTGGACTACTGCTTGGTTTTAACCATTGCATTACATGAAAAAAGATTTAACAGATTGATTCTGTTCAATGAGTGAGTTCTATCTTTTTCACTCAATTCAGGCACCTATTGGGTATGTATTTTAATATTTGAATAAAGGCTAAAACTTAATTTCAACTGAATAGTTGAGAATTGCACACAAGTGTGGTCTCTCAGTATATTACAGCAGCTCCTCTTTGGGCCTTCAGTGTTTCTAGCAGGGAAGATGCAGTTTAGTTTTTACAGAGGAGTCAGGCTGCTGATGCACACAGGGGGACTCTCCATTTCCCAGAAGGCCACTGGGCCGCAGTGGCAGTTGAGGGAAGGAAGCCTCTCTATAATTTCATGCATATTTTATCTACTGCCTGGGGATCCACTAACTTACACGTGCAGAGATGACCATTGATTAGTAATGTGTAATTAGTATGTTCTAAATTTAGAAGGAGCGAGCGAGAGAACAGAGAAAGGGAGAGAGGCAGCTGATTTGTTGATGTCTGCATAATTTGTGTTAGCATGGTGTGTGTCCTTCCTTGATGGCAGGTGTCGGGATGTGTGTATTTGTGATGCTGATGAGGATAGAAGTTTGCTGGTGGTCTAACTGAGCAGCTAATGGCCCCACAGTGTGTGAAAATCTGTTCTACTGTCTGTCTTTATTTAGCAGACTGGTGTGTGCGCCCATGTGTGCATGAATGCCTGTTTGTGTGTGCGTTCACGATGGAAAATGGAAGGGCTCCAAAATATCCTTTGAATGTCAGCACAGGAGAGAACCTTTTGTATGTCTGTGTGTGTGTGTGTGTGTGTGTGTGTGGGGGGGGGTTGTGTATCAGTGTGTGTGTTTGTGCTCTGGGTAAGACACAGTTTATGCATTTGCGTATGTGTGTACGCTTGCACTGAGTGATATTTCCCTCATCCCTAAGAGACACTCAAACCAAGGCCAGCTGTTGATTTTGTATAGTCTCTGGCTGCACACACACAAACACACAACCACATACACACACACCAAAATGGTAGATGGATAG